AGAGAGAGAGAGAGAGAGAGAGAGAGAGAGAGAGAGAGAGAGAGAGAGGGAGAGAGAGAGAGAGAAAGAGCGAGAGAGAAATATCGCGGCGTAAGACGCGACAGAGATCGGACAGAAGAGAGTTACAGGCGTAAATGGAAAGGGCGAAATTCATCGCGATCAAATCAGAGCCGGCCGAGAATCGCGAGATCGCGATCTCCACGCGCGAAATCAACGTGGCTGTTGATTGACAAACAGGTGATATCCAAACCGTATGTCTAAAATCAACGAAGTCTCACTTCTCCCAAGAGAATACATCTGCGCTTTCTTCTTCTCTCCGAATAAATCGCTCAACGAGTCGTTGAGAGAACATCTTGAAAGGGACATCTCGAATTTCGCGAGTGGGACGCGGAAGTTTACGAGTGTCACGGCTAGCCCTTCCGTTAGAACGGTCCAAGATTGAATTAAAGTCGGTCCCGTCTTACGGCGACGGTGAGACATGAGAGACGTGAACGCCGGTGGAAGAGGACGAGCTGTTTACTTTAAGCGACATTAAGTGACGCGCAATTACGGAAAATGGAAAGCCCGTCGTGGAGGCTCCTTGCGCGAGTTTTTCCGCGTCCCACGCGTCAGCGCGGATCTCGGGGTGTCTCCGGGCCGGCTCTGGATTGAACGTTGAGCAAAAGTGCCTTTTGTTGTTGCGCGTTTCGTATCTTTCGTCATTTGCCGGACACCGACGCGTCGGACCTCCTGGTTCTGTGTGCACTTCCTTTGCGTCTTCGTACCTCCGCGCCGGAGCAAAACGCGCGTTCATCGAGCGCATCGTGAAGCGGAAGATCTCGAGTGATCGCATTTATTCGCGAATGTCAGTTTAAAGAGTGCTCTCTCCGCGTTTATCGGGACGACGCATCTTCAGTTTCTGACACTTCCTCGTCCGTTTGTTCACTCTTCTGTTCGTTTCTACGACTGAAAGGCTGAAATCGCGAACTAATCTTACTTATACATATATATATATATATATATACATATACACACATATATATAACATGTAAGTTCTTCGCATTAATCTTAAGGGGTATACACCTTCTCAAACTAGAAGTTACTCTATGTATTATCTCGATTGTAATTTTGTTGTTTACTATAATAGATTTACGAAGCACAATTCCTTTTTCGTGGGACGTGTCTGTGTTACAGCGGAAGATATCCGCGCTCCGGATACGCGAGACGTCCTCAAATAAGTGGTACAATTATTCTACGTAGCGTGCAAACGTTCCAATCGGTCGCGAGTTTCTCAGATTTAAGTAGACGCACGACTCGATTAAACTCAATTAGACAGAAGAGAGAGAGAGAGAGAGGAAGAGGGAGAGAGAGATCTTCGTCTTTTGGGGGAGCAGCGCACGGGGGAAGATTTCGCCTAGAGAATTATTTTATTATCGCGTTCGTTTTGCGCTATCTCACTTCTCGAGCCACGGAAATTGTTATAATAGATCGCTCGTTTGACAGACACATACACATACAATTCGTATTAAATCATTGCGAACTAACAAAGCAGTGGTTACATAACAATGTAAATAGAAATGCGTTCCCTTCCACACGCGTTTGTACACAGAAAGACCAATAGACACCGAGCGTGCATGATTCAACGATGACTATCTGAATTGAATTGAATCAACGTTGCGTTATTGAACTTTGATAGCGAGAGAGAGAGAGAGAGAGAGAGAGAGGAATCTCCGTACTCACACATACACGGGGAGAATTTTGCAGTGAGAGTTATAGAATTTCGCAACTAAGGAACAGATCGACATCCTGTAGTAATTGGTTATCCTGTCGTTTCATATGCGCTGTTTACATTTCAGGAACTGAAATATTAAAGCGTTTGCTATGTTTCTAGCGAAATTAACTATGCTAACAAGATAGAGCTTATTGACAATCCATTTCTATACACTGCTGGAAACAGTAAAACTGTGGAGAATTTATATGAAAAAAGAAAAAAACTACAATACTCTCCCCGTAGAGAATACTAGATAGAGAATATACTGATATCCTGCAGAGAGAGTAATTAGCTCTCCTCCCATTTCATATGTGCTATTTATATTTCAGGAATTGAAATGTGCTATTAAAAAAGTTTGCCACGTTTCTAGCGAAGTTTACTATGTTTCTTAGCAAGATAAACCTCATTGACAGTATTCTTGTATGTCTGGGAACGTAGTAAAGTTTCGTAGTAAAACTGAAAAGAATTTATATGGAAAGAAACTATTATTATTGTTATTCTCTCCGTGTATGCACGTGTATACACACACACACACACACACACACACACATATGTACGTATTGTATTGCTATGACTAATTCTGCCCATTGGTCATAGCTACGACAGGAAAAGGAACCGTCGTTTCGCATTATGCGCGAACATAATAGCGAGGAATGAGGGAGTTCCAAAGATGAAAATATATGGCACGAAATACGCGGAATATGCGGAAACTATGATGTGCTGACCTCAACGCGTGACTATGCAGAAAAGAAGGAGAGAGAGAGAGAGAGAGGGGAAAGGAAGAAAGATGATAAGGAGTCAATGAATTTTCTTGTACACTGCTGAATCTCGTCTAAATTCCTGCCGAAGTTTTCAAGTGTAATTAAGGTTAAATTAAAAGGATAAAACGACTGCGTTCCGTTCATCCGCGCTACGACGTCGAGTGTATCGTGATGCGACACGAAGTACAAGCGAATATAAGCCGCGAGACGATGGGATAGGTAACTGTTGGAACAATTTAAAGGATATCGCCTCTATTCACCGCAAAATTTACGGTGCGCGGGATACACGTCGTCGCGTTGGCAGATTTACGAGGGGCAGCGCGGCCGGGCGGGATACTATACGGTATCACGGCCTTCGTTTATCGTATCGCGTTACCGTAATTGATGTCATGCTTATCCCGCTGGTTCCGCCCTGCCAAGGACGTATTCCCGCGCGTGGTGGCTACAGATTATTAATATTATCATTATCACGATTATATATTATGATTACATGTTATGAAGTACCGTCAAACACACACATACACACACGGTGAGGAAATTGTTATGTCGTAATTACCATTGCCGACGCGCAATTATTACGTGCTGCTATATTGCGATTACCATTACTACTACTTCTACTACTACTATTACTACTACTACTATTGTGTAGTTATTTTAAACGAAATTTGAAAGCTTTCTTATTGCGATTTCTCTATTGTACCACTTATATATACATTTGACGCACGATTTTTCGAGAATAAATATTTATGAAACGCTCCATTCTTAATGAACGACTTGTTTTTCCACGCTCGACACGACGCTGCGGCCATCCCGTTCTGTCGACCGATGATGTAAAAATTTCTACTTTTTCTTTTTTATCTTGTTTCTTCCTTATTGTGCGACTATATGTAGACCAGCCGCTGTCTGTGAATCGTTTCGATACATCTCGCGTCGCGTCATAAAAGTCGGGGTGGGAAAAAATCGAGAGCTACCTCGCCCGTTAATTTAGCCGGCTCGCGAGACACAAAGAGTCGAGATACTTTTAATTAATGAACATGCCGTTAATGCGGAATATAAGGTTATGTCGGCCGGTGCTGTTTTCCACTTTCTACATAACATCGGTCTCTCCTGGAACTTCGCTGCATCGACTCCGGGCCAGAGGGCGGATGCGATGACGTATCGACCGGCCGAGGTCAAGCGAGGTCACCAAAGTTCATAGCGCGCTTGATGCAAAAGTACCAGCGTCAGTCCGCACCGTCGATCGACACCAAAAAACATTCGATTTGCCGGCACGCGACTCGCGTGCTCTCGTCGAGGAACATCGACCATCTCCGCGTCGCGGATTTTTATTGCAAAGTAACACTAACAATCGCGAAGCGCCGCTGCCCTGCTTCACGCGAAAGAGAAAGAGAGAGAGAGAGGGGGGGGGGAGAGAGAGAGATTTTGAACAACACGTACGATTTGTTAAAACGAAGTACCTTTTCTTTTGTAACGCAAGAATCGATGTAATTTGACTTGCAAATATCCGAAACGATAAGCTGGTATCCGCCAATTTTAATCTGGTCAAGTAGCGCGCGTTTCCGGGATGCTAAAGTGTTAGTGCGATTGGTAGAATATCGCGAATAACATCAAGGGGAGATATCAGGCCGCACAAGTGTCTAACAACGTGCTTGCTTTTTCTGCTCGACCAGGATGATCGGGGCTATGCCAGCGGTGGCTGTTCGCCATGAGCGCAGGAGGCAAGAAAAAAGGCTGAAGCGGCCGAGTCAGCTCTATCTGAGTGGGCAATGGCTACCACCCCTCCAGGGCTCACCACCCACCCCCAGTCCGCATGGTCACAACAATCTGGAGCCCAGACCCGAGCTCTACTTATGCGGCAAGGTAACGCTTGTTATTGTCGATCGCGGCGTTAACGTTCAAGGAGGTACACCTGACACACTTCGAGATACATGAGAAGTTTCTAGCTCGCGTGTCGACGAAACCCCATCCCTTCAGTCGCCGGTTGCAGAAGTCTCTGGATCGGCAAACTGAAAATCGAAGAACTCTTTAAGTTTAGAAATTTGTATTTAATTTGCCAATTATAAGCAATAGTTAATCGATGTGCCAGTTAACTAAAAGTTACATCATATGTCTGTCTTTCTTCTCCCTTCAGAATAAACAAAGACAGACATATGCCTTCACTGTAATTTGGCTTAAAGAAAGGCGCAGGTCTTAGAAGAATTCTTTCATCTATATGACCTCCAGAAGCTTCTTTTAAAACCGAAAGAGTATTTCTCGTCGAAAGAAGTGAACTATTAATTGGAAGACTATTAGATATTATTTAACTAATTTATTTTTCCTTTTGAATCTCTCAAGAGGAACATGTTTGCTCTTGGAGCAAAATACCTTCTTACTTATTTATCTTCTTACAACTTACCAAGAAACTTATATGCAGAACAAAACTTGTACTGTAAGAAATAAAAGAAGAAATTATTCTAACTTTAAGAATATTATACTTATATATGTAGGAATATTTTTCTTTTAGTTTTACAGAAGATTCTTCTTGATGATATATAAGAGAATTCAGCTAAAGATGAGATTACGTATTTATATATTTATTTCCTCCTTTATTTGAGTAAATCGTTCGTATCAGCCGAGAAAATCTCTATACAAGCAACGCGAGAGAAAAAAGAAACAAATGTCGCTACGAGGTAGTTGTTGTTTCTGACGAAGATCGTTGCCACCAGATATCTGGGCTACACGCCGTGGTGGTGTGCCTGTTGTTGGGCGCGGTGGTGCTTGTAGTCGGTCTCGTCCAACTTGCACCGGGAGCAACGACCACCAACCACAGGTTGGCGTTACTCGTGGCGGGTACTGCCCTACTTATAATGGGTGAGCATTCTTGGAGAGCGAGAGAGCCTCCTTCTAGTAAGCCGCACACATTTAAAAAATGGCGCAACCACCCTGCCACGATCGATTCGGGCATCGAGCGAGGACGCGCTCAGGCACGGAGGAAGTGCGAGAGAGAGAGAGAGATCTCTCTCTCTCTCTCTCTCTCTCTCTCTCTCTCTCTCTGCGTGCTCTCTCGCTCCCCGCTCGGATCAATCGTCGCTGGTGCCGATGACGCGGAATTCTACGGTGCGTATCGCTTTCAGGTTTCGTCCTGGCCGCCGTGAGATGTTACGTGATACACTGCTTACCGTTCCCAGTGGAGTCGCCGGTCGCTACTCCCATTCCGCAGCCGACGAGTGAGCCTCAGGCAGCCGTGCACAAGGGCACCTTGGACCTCCTGGTGGGCCATCAGAGTCAGCCAGAGACCGACGCGCTGATGCAGCATCATCATCACAATAACCATCGGATCAAACGCAGTTCTCAGGGCTCGCACTCCGAAGAGGCCTAAGATACATAGGGAGTGGGGATCGAAAACGAGAGGGAAAGAGAAAAAGAGGAGGATCGAGTCCTAGATTGGACGCAAGCACGAAGGGATGATTTCGATTTCGCGAATGAGTCCAGACCGGACGAGAGAGGAGTGGTTGGAAAGCTAAGGAGAAATTTCTCGGGAGGAAGGAGGACATCGCCATTCTTTCTTAACACCTTCGATGTACGCGGAGTCTTCCGGAAAGTTGCGTTTTCTTCCCCCTCGGACGACGTGCGCGGGGAATAAGGACGAACAAGACATCAGCATTAACACGTTCGCTGCCCATCACGCGCCAGCGCGCGAGAGATCTATATGTTCAAAGTAAGCTGGCCCATTGGACTTTCAGGGGTAGTGTGCCGTTTCAGATGGGCAGCGAACGTGTTAATCAGGCGGACGAACCACGCGTTTTAGAAGTACATTAAACAGACTGATCGGTAAATTATTAACGACACCCGACAAGCGGTGAGAGCAGATCTCAATCTCCGGTGCTCGTTGATGGGCGGGAGGGAGGGGGGGGGGGGGCG